TCGGGTAAGTGGCTAACTCGGGAATCTGAAAAGTTAGAAGACTGTAAGTTTAAGGGAATGTTCCATGTCCATGCAGCTATTAATTAACTCAAACCTAGTCCCGGGCATGAGTCATTCCAAGTATGGGCTTGTGAAAGTTTTTTTCGAGTAACTTGCTAACCCGGGGATCTGAGAAGCTGGAAGACTGAAATTTTGAAGGGATGTTTCCTGATAGTCCTGGCGGCCAGTCTGAAATTCTTTTAGCTGAAGTATCTGCTGGAAAAAACAGTACAGTTAGCAACAAAAATCTGCCGGGGACTGTATAAAAAACGCATCTTTGCACGGGCAGCCCGTGAGTTGGCCAGTTATTTGAAAATGACCTAGCTGTTCAATAAGTAATTTTCGTGCCGAAAGTATAAGTGCCCGTACACGAGAACCACGAGTACTTGGATTCTGAATTTTAAACCTTTAAGCTGTATTTGGACGGGGAATACTATCCAAAAATCTCAGCTTTCCAGCTTTTCTGGTTCCCGAGTTAGAAATTTTCCTGCCAAAACTTTCACAGGGCTGCACATGATCTGGGAGCTTACCTGGGATCTGGGTTTGGAATCTTAAAGTTGTGTGCGGGCTGGCAATATCCCTTTAAAATTTCAGCCTCCCAGCTTTGGTGGTTCCCGAATTAGCCATTTTCCAGCTAAAAAAGTTTCATGGGGCCGTACGCGAGAAGAGCGCACGCCTTGGGGCTGAATTTGATAACTTTAAGTCTTACACGGGCTGGAACACTTCCCTTGAAAATTTCAGTATCCCAGCTTTGCTAGTGACCGAGTTAAACATTTTCCTGCTAGAAAATTTCACGGGGCCTTACTTGATAAGCACATACCTCGGGGGGCTGAATTCGATGATTTTAGGTTGTATTTGTGCTGGGAACACTCCCACAAAATTTCAGCCCCTTAGCTTTCCTGGTTTCCAAGTTAGCGATTTTCGCGTCAGGAAACCTCATGGGGCTGTATGCGGGAACCATGCACGTTTGAAATCTTAGTTTTATTGGACGAGGAACATAATCTCAAAATTTCAGCTTTCTAGTTATTCCCGTTCTCGATAGCAATTTTCCTGCCAAAACTTTCGCCCTCCCGTGCCTGGGGCCCGGACTTGCACGTGGGATGGTAC